AGTGAAGGAGAACCACTAAGAGATCCTTTTTGCCTGAGGGAGTACTGGAACTATCCCACCGGCAGCTGGAGTAACACTAGGGCAGAAGTCCCTCCTTCCCCTAGGGAAATGGAGCTGAGTTGGTTCTTGAAATGACGGACAGCATACCTTCAAGGTGGAGTTGATCTGTACTCAAAACAATTCCCATTCATCCACATACCTCCTCAGAAGTGTTTGGTGCCTCTTTCAAGTGAGGCCAGCTAGTCAGACCCACAGAAACGTGAGTGCCACTTCCCCATACCTGAGAAGTCCCCAGCTCCACAGCGGTGACGTTGGCCAAGTCACCTGCACGAGGCTGGTTACTGCTCCAGTGTGTGTCCATAATTACCTCTCCATGCCCAGAAGGGCAGGCAAGCTCTCCCACAGCTCACAGGAAATAATTACAGAGCTGCTCATCTTCTTGCAGCATGAAGGTCTTCCTGTTACATCCCAGAGGCACCAGCAACATTACTCATAGTGGGTGATGTTTCCCAGCGTGATTCTCTCACCCCGGGTCAGCCATCCAGCCCACTCCCACCTGGGGCTAGCCAAGCCCAGGACAACACATTGATGCAGGGGAGCTGGGGAAGAAGGGGAGTAGAGAACATGGCTCTGGCTGTGGGAAGTAGCCTGTCAAGAAATGCTTGTTTAATGCACAGCAGATTAGCCTGCCTCAGGAATGAACTGTTTCTGTAAATCAAATGGCTTCTCATGAGTCAGGAGCCCAACCCTTTATTACAGCATTGCATATTTTCAGAAACGGATGAAAAAGTAGCAGGCATTTTGGAGAAGCTGTTTCACACTGCTGTGGGTCTACTTCCAATTTATTTGGCTGGTTGCTGTGCCACATCCACAGCTCCCCAGCTTCACATGTGGAGTAGCTGGAGGTGGTGCAGCATGGTGCTGCCGTGGAAGAGGTACCCTCCCATCCTGATCCTTCCTTGATAAAGGAGTTAAAGGCAAAGGCAGGTGACTTCTTGGGCCAGCTTTGCTGAAGAGATGCCTTCTTAGCAGCTCCACCTGCAGTACTCCTCATTCTCCTGATCTGGAGGTGCCTTGAGTCTCCCTTGTTTTCTGCAGGAGTGAATGTTGGTCTCTGGTGGAGACCCAACAGCCTCAGAAAGTCTTTTTACCTGCTTATGGTGGTGCCTTAAGACAAAATACCTGCCTTCAGGAAGTGGGCCTCACAGCCATGGCAGAGAGCGAGCTTGTGTGTCATTGTGTGTTGTCCTTGTCTGGTGATATATGGTAGTAGCTGAGGGACTACCCTCACCCCAGACCATAGGTAGGCTGGAAGAAGCTGGGAAGTGGGACCCTCATTCTTCACTTCCCTATAGCTCTGCTTTGTGGAGAGAGGTGACTCCCCACCACCACCGATGGAGTCTGTGGCCACCATGTCTCTCACAAGGCACCGTACAGGCTATTTTTGTTTGGGTAGTTTAGCACAACAAGCACTATGGAGAGTGGAGTGGAGTAGCCCATAGCCTGGAGGCTCGGGAAGACCCTGCGTCCCTGCAAGCTGATGCACTCTCAGTGATGAGCCCAGAGTGTGGGCCTAGCAGGCTTTTCAGGGCTGGGAAAGTCTGAATGAGTACTGAGTTGTTTAAAATAGCTTTAGCTGCCTCATCAGTCATCTACTCTCAGTGATGTTGCAGACGATACCAAGTATACCATGATCTTTTCAGAAAGAAGCAAGACTATGAGAGAAGGCTGGGAGAAAAGGCAGAGAGAAAATAGAGTGTGGCAAGACAGACATTCTGGATTGTTTGAAGTGTGTAGCCAAAACCTGAAGTCAGTTTATGGATCATCTGTGTACCTCTCTCCCACCAACTGAGCTATGTCAAGCCTGGGCTCGAAAGGATTCACCAGCACAGAGGGGCCCAGGTGGTTGCTTTGGCATCTCTAAGGAAAAAACTTGCTCCATCCAACCTGTCACTGCTGTGGTATCAATATCAGGCCACACATTTTTCCCCCAAAGGGTGGTGGGTGATAAACCTTGTCTTTATCCACCTGAGCAGGTCTGTCACTTCCCCACCTGTCCCCCATTTCTCTCACTGTAAAAGGAGCAGGTAACATCAGTAATTCAGGGATTTTTATTGTTAACATTTGTTGGTTTTTGTGTACCAGGCTGAGGGGGGATCTGAGTTCTCAAAACCTTTAAGACCATGGGTTTCTGTGTAATGCCAGCACCCAAAGGGAGTGAAAGCCTGGAAAGGGATACCAGACAATCCATCCACTGCCATTGTTTGCCAAGAGAACCAAATCAGTCTTTCTCCTCTGAATGCTTTTGAGGTCTATTTCCTAAGAATGACATCCACAGATGTCCTCTGTGGGGGCACTACTGGAAATGATCATGTAGGGCTGAGAATGCTGAAACTAAATTTGTAATACTCAGCTGCTGTAATCTGCAAACAGTGCTAAGTGCTAGAAAGAGGCAGCAGCCGCCCTCCAAAGCTGTTTTCAAGTACATATGATCAAGAGAGTCACTTGTCAGCCACAGCAGGTGCCCACTTCTGCTCAGACTCAAGGAAGTCATGAGGGTGATCACCATGCAGATCTTTATAGAAATACCATAAAACATGAGATGAAAAATAACTATTGAGTTGTCTAGTCTAGCCACTTATCCATCCCTTATAAGTACAAAGTGAATGATTGGCACCAGAAGACCAAAGGTTTAAAGTAGGGGTGTTTAACTAAAAACAGCAATAAAGGTATGAAGAAAGCAACTCTGCTAGCTGCTAGCATACAATTCTGGCTTAGCTGCTGCAGTAACAGGAAACAAGGCTACAAATTACTTTCATAGCTCTGTATTTCCATTTGGTTTAAAAACTACAGCCCAGTTTTCAGAAAAAATACATTACAAAACTCATTACAAAAATGAGTTTTTATTATTTTTAAGCACTGATTGCAAATATAAATGCAGGTATGCAGCTGGTGTGAAAGGGCCCCCGGGGATGAACAGCTCCACACAGAAGTGTTTTGGGAAGGCTCTGTAAACAGGTGTTGCTACCCCTGGGTTCACTGATTCCACAGAGGGCACTCACTGACACAGTGTTTCATCCTCCTGCAGGATTTTCTGGGAGGTTTTGGGACATAGTAAGATAAGGCAAAGCCCGTGCTGTTCCCAACACATGGCAATGCACACCAGGAGCACTACTGGATGCCGTGCTTCTGCCTGTGATGATGGGATGGGAAACAGGGCAGAGGAGAAGAGCAGCAGCTTGGCAGATATCTGTTTGAGTGATACGTGTCCACAGACACCTAGTTATTCTATGTAAGATGTGTGGTGACGCCCTCCAGGGTTATTTTGCCTGCAGGTCCCTCTGCTCAGTGCTCTGCTTGTGGGTCATGCTGATGATCTCCAGGTCTGGGAACAGTCTCTCTGGGTGCGAATGCCTGCAGGGAAAAGCTCTCATCCCCCAGTATAAAGATGCAACCCAAAGGAGTCAGCACCCTATGGGCACCCCTGCCTGCAGACCTTTCTCAGTCTCCTGAGGTGCTCGTGGTGAATCCTCAACCCCCCCAGTTTCGCGTGTCAGGAAGGTTTAACTTCAAATTATTTTCAAGCTGTTGTTTTCCCTGCAGAAATTTTGCATTGCTACACATCCTTGTTTTCAACATCTTTGCTTTGTAGTGGCTCTCGTGGTCCGTACTCTGTCAGGATGCTCAGTTCGAGTGGTTTTCTCCAGACCTCATCTCTTCAGATGAGGCTTGGCAAACAAAACTCCCTCTGGGAAATAAAGGGTTCAGATTCACCAGGCAAGAGAGACCTCCTAAAGGACTCTTTCATGTATAGCCAAAGAAACTAGAGAGTGTCAGATTTCAAGGCAAAACACTGCCATCAGAAAGGTGTACAAGCTGCATACAGAAGGGACCCTTCACAACTTGGCAGCCTTTGAATTCAGCTTTTAAATAAAATCACTGAAAAACTGATGCAAAAGTAATAACACATAAGGAAAGGGGATTTTTTTATGGATGAAACTACATTTCAATATAAAATAAGCTGTCTCTTTTGATTTAATGATAAGCCAAACTCATATTTTGTCTTGGGAAAATAACACATCATCCAGCTCACCACTGGGCAGATGCCTGAGAGACGAGGGTGTTGGTTCTGCTGAGGCTGGGATTAGCTTCTGTATCACTGGCAGATGCAGAGGGAATACGGTTCATGTCTTGGGCTCCAGCACTTCATCAGAGATGATGGGGTGGAAAGCTGATGGTGAATGTAATTCCTGGGAATTGTGGACAGCCACACCGAAGCAACATTGTGCATGAAACCACATCCAAGTTATGCTCCCATGTGGCTCTGTGGCTCTGCTGCCTGGCCACTGTGCACATCCCCCCACTGTGCCCCAACCCCCTGGGCTGTGTCCCTGGGCTCCCCTGGTCCATGGGGGGATGGCAGCAGCAGGTGTGCACAGGCTGGGCTGCAGTTCCCATGGCAACTGTGGAACTGTGACCCTTGATGTCATAGGGTGCCTGCTGGAAGGCTGCAGGAGCACCTGTGGCTCTGCTCACGCGCTCACCACCAAATGAAAGTCTCGAGGCACCTGAGTTCATTCATGCCCTGACACACTTTGCAGCGTGGCAATGTCGGCGCGCGGTTGCTTTCCGGAAGACACCAGCCAGCACCTGAGGCGGATACAGCGGCAGGTGAGGCTGCTGGCCCTGCGCCTGCAGCTGCTCCGTGAGAAGCTGCTTGCAGCCCGCCTGCAGAGGATGATGACCCGTCACCGCTGCTGCCTGCAACTGCCCGAACCCCGGCCCCCGGCAAGAAGAGCCCTCCCCGCAAGGCTGGATGTGGAGCGACGGGTCAACAGGTAACAGTTGCCTGCTTTCTACAAGCATCAGCACCCTTTAAGGTAGGATAAGGGAAGTTTGGCATTGCTATCAGGAGCAAAGGTTGAAACAGATAAGTGGGATGGGAGAGAAATAGCCATTTTGGAGAAGTAAGTTGGAAGGGGAATGGGAAGGTAAAGGCTATCCTCTTCTTTTAATTCCAGAATACAAAGATTTAGCAGGACATTGAATTCGTCTCATAGTCAGTGTCATTTGGCTTTGATCGACATGAAGGATTTTGAGCCCAGGGATGTCAGTGTGGAGGTGAAGGATGGGAAGGTGACGGTGTTAGCAGAGCACAGGGAGGAGCGCAACACCCCAGTATTAAAGACATGTAACTACAGAAAATTCATGAAGGAGTTCAACCTGCCACCAGGGGTGAGCGACGACGAGGTGACCTACTCTCTGGAATCCAACAGCGTCATGAAGATTGAAACGGCACCCAAGGGCTGCCCTCAGCTCCAGGACTACTGAGCTGAACCCAGGCACAGTCATTCCTCTGCCACATCCCTTCTACCCACCAGCTTTAAGTCTGTCCTGCTAACTGTGTGCTAACAACTTCTCTCACCTCTTCCAAAAAAGAAGACAGCACTCTGAGCAGATGTGTGTGAGCCTCATTTGAAGGGGTTTGGTGGGCAAACATAGGGGTGCCAGAAGGGAAACATGAAGATGTTTTTGGACATACGTGGCTGTGGTCACTTGCTGGTCACTGAAGGCAGGGCTGGAGGTGGTAGGTTTAGGGCTTACAATCTCATGGATTTTAAAGGCTGAGAGGCACCACCTATGGTCAGTCACATTTCTGTAAGGACACTTCTCTCAGTCCAACCTCTTCCATTTGAGCTGCAGGGTGTTTCTAGAAAGAAAACCTTGATGATAAACACATTGAGGAGAGAAGCCTTCTCCCAAAAAAAACCGAATTGTGCTCTTTGTCCCCTTGGTTTCGTTCTTGCAGGGACTGCCTGGCTGGAAAATAACAGCTGATAATAAATTTTAAGCTTTATGGGCTTAGTGTGTAGCTGGGTCAGTAGAGAACCATACAACCATGGAATGATTTTGGTTGGAAGGGACTTTCTGAAGGTCATTTACTCTAGCCTCCCCCCCCTCTCCGTGAGCAGGAACATCTTTCACTAGAGCAGTTTGCTCAAAGCCCCATCCAACCTGGCCTCTGGGCAACCTGTTACGATGTCTCATCACCTTCAATATAAAAAAATGCTTCCTTATGTCCAATTTAAATCTACCCTTTTTCAGTTTAAACCCCCTTGTCCTGTCACTACGGGCCTTAGTAAAAAGTCTCTCTCTTTCTTATATGCTTCCTTCATATATTGAGAGGCTGCCCATGCACGGGTAACCTGATTCTGATGTTGACCAAGGATGTTTAGACCTAACACACCTCACCAGGGAGGCTGCAAGGGAGACTCCTGTGAGAGCAGGTGGCAGGGATGGGGACTGGGGTGCTGCAGAAGACTGTCTTCCTACAAAGCAACCCACTGAGTAATAAAACTGAACCCCTTTTGGGATACGGTCTTTGCACTTTGTAATGATTTCTACAGAAGCCGTCTAAGTGTGCAGAAGGGAAACGTATTTCAACACCTCTCCTTTACCCATGATTTGCAGAATGTATCGAGTGCCACAGCAATCACAGGGCTAGCTATGACTGCTCCTATCTTTATAGCTTATCCTTTAACACATGCTCATCATACTTGTCCCTAAATTAGGCTTCTTAGGCTCCTAACACCAAATTACACTCGTGAGCACTTTACTGACAGATGTGACTTTCTGAAAAAAACTTTGAATTCATTTTATATCCTGTGAAATGCTAGTCTGGGCTGGTAGGACAACCTTTAGGACTTTTTCCATAACAGAAGCAAATCACTGAATAGTCACTTGGTTTTGTGAATACCTACATGCTGTTAACAACTTGGGCCATACCCCAAAATCTGTACCCTCCAAACACTGCTAACCTGAGACTTTGCAAAGAGAAAATACCTTTGGAAAACCATCGTTAACAAGCAAGCCATGCTCACAGCAGCATCTCTCATAAAACAAATTCATTTGCCACTAGGTGGCAGATACTATTTTTTTTTAAATTTATCATGGCACAACTATTTTATTCTAAGCAAACCTGCTGAAGGTGGTGTCACAAAATGATAAGTCTGGGACGCACTGCAGCTGGTATTTTTCTTTGTTATGCAAATAGCAAATGAAGAGGAAGGCAAGAGACAGAGCTGTGTTTTGTGATCCTGAATGTGCAGGAGCCCTCAGGACAGACCACCACCACATTAGGTTCCTACACTGGATTATATCGATCTCAGATCCTGCAGCTCTCCCCCTTGGAGTACAGCTCCTAGATAAGGCAACTTTCATTTGCTTCAGCAGCCCAGCTCTGCTCCAGTTATCAGCCCAGCAAGGGCTTCCAGGAGTTCATGTATTCTTCAGTGTGTTGCTGCAACAAATTATTTTGGGGGCTAATCTTAACAATTCTCATGTAGCAGATACCCTCTCTGAATTCCCTGGCATGAAGAAGATGCCAGAGATAGTGAATTGGCTCTGTAGTTCTAAATGTTAGTGCATTCTTGAACTCTAGTCTTATGGAGGCATTTATAAATAGCCAAGGAATTTGTAACGAGAGGTCATCTGAGGATGCTAAATCCAGACTTCTCCTCAGTCATCGATTTCTAGGGGATTTCCTGCAGCCAAGCAGTGCTCTGCAAGCTTAGGCTGTGTAGAACTGCTGTTTCTCTCCTAGCTATTGAAAACCTGGAGAGAGCAGTCCCTTCCCGGGAAGGTGCGAAGTGATGCCAATTTTCCTCTCCCAACACTCCTGTGTGCTGCTGCTTGGGCAGGTGGCCAGTGCCAGTCTGGCAGGGTAAGCTGATGCCTGTTGCAGGGGCCAGCTCTGCTTCTCACATCTCCTTTCCCTGTCCTTGGAGCATTGGGGTGGCCAGTCTGTTGGGATCATGCCAGCCAAGTGGGGCCGACACAGCCACCCTCCACTGCACCTCCACATGAGGTGAGAAGCTTCATCCATCCGTCTGTCGTGTTTGTGCTTAAAGTTAAATTTAACCATTGTCTCTGTTAAGCTGTTTGGCACCTCAGTCTCTTAGATAAACTTTCCAAGTCTGTTTTCCTTCATCTCCCCTAGAGAAAGCCCTAAGAGTTTAGAAGACAGACCAGGATCCATGGCTTGAAGTCTGCCTCTGTACTGAAAACTCAGTAGATTTGTTGTCATTCTGGACCCTGCACTTGTCACCTCATTAATAATCCTGCACTGAATTTAGGTTATGAGTAAGCTGATCCTTCCAGCACGCTCAGTGTGACTGTCGGGAAGCTGCCACCTCCACGAGCATGGGGTGCTGGCCCGTGTTTCTCCCCTTTTGCCTTGCAAGTCCCTTTGTTGGTCTCTGGAATAAAAAGTTATTTTTTCATCTCCATCTGTCTTCTAATTCCTCCTGGCATCCCATTTGTCCCCCTCCACCTCAGTTGCTGTAGGTTGGACCTTTCTTTTAACAGGCGATGTGTGGGGTTTTCTTATTCTCTTGAAACCTCAGCCAAGGTGAAAAAAGCTTTGCTGTCCCAAAGGTTATCCTCTCAATTGCCCTGTTATGTGTAGATGGTGTGAATCATCCCCATCCTATTGTCCTTCTATATTTCAGCATTAATAATAAATAAATAATAGGAAGTGTCTCAGCTCTTTGGTCCCTTGTGCTAGTCCCTACCTTGGGTGTTGCATGTAGTTTTTAAAGGTCTGCAGGTGACAATAATGTTATAATTAAAAAACTGAAAACCAAAAATCATCATCCCCTGTGCCTCACTAAAACAGTTTTTAACTTGCCAGAAAAATAAAATGCAGCTTCTTTTTGTTTGTTTCTTTTGTTGGTTTTATTTTTGCCATAGCTTTTTGCAGCTACACCTGGATGTGCAGAGAAGCCTGCAAAAGGGAGAGCTGCCAGGGCTCTGCCTCACAGTCACACAAGTGCACATGGCACTTTAAAACTTATCAAAAGAGAAAACAAAATCTCCTCCCTGTTGAGATCTGGACCCCAAAGCTTTGGAGGTTCCCAGGTCTGAACTGAGCCAGGGCCCACAGCAGCCAGAGTACAGGACTGGGTGGTGACAGCACTCTCCCCATCCCTCACAGTCCCCCTTGCCCTAGGGTTGTCGGCTGGGGGTCACCGGCCACCACGTGCCCATGTTTGTGGGGTTTGGGGTTGAGTGCCTGCAAGCACAGAACTGGGAACACCACCCAGAGCATCTGGCTATGGACCAACAAACATTTCAAGAAGGCTTAGAGCCAAAAGTCACGTCAGTGGGAAGACAGAGGGGCTGGAAGTACTCATCAGTGTGCTCACAGCCCAGTGATGAGCAGCCCCACACCAGGCAAAGCACTGGATCCAGCGGGATCCAGCACTTTGGGCTGCCACCAGGACAGACTCTGCCAGAGCCCAACGTTTGTGAGCAGGGAGGGAAAGCAGGACACTGAAAAGAGAGAAATAAATTCTAATTCCAGCACTTGGGCCCCATTCATGGCAGGTCCTGAGCACTTTCTATTCCCTCTAAATTCCCTGGACAACAACTTTACACAGCAGAACTGCACTGTTACTGTGAACAGCTACACAGCTAATCTCCTTGGAGAAACGCAGAGATATTTACATGCCCAGGAGTGTGAGTCACTGTGCAGAGACAAGAGGAAAACTCCATCATCTTGGGGAAAGTGTCAAAAATCCACCTTCCCTGACCAGGTCCCCGTCCCTCCTTGGCTGCTCAGTGTGCCTGGAGAGACAGGCAGTTAGTTTGAAATCCAAGGCTGGCACCCCAAGAGATTTGTGGATGTTAGTGCACCAGTGTAATGCAATCCTTGCCCCAATATTTAAAAATAGCCCAAGGGACTGGCCTACATAAACTCCAAGCCATGCAGTCTTGCCTGGGTGCCCAGTTGGCATGATGACATTTCAAACATGGTGCAGCTGACTTCATAGCAGTATCATAGGTTTCATCTGGGAGAGGCATGCAAAGTGTGCACAGGGAATGATACTTCACATTGGATGAAAGCACCTAAACAACCTGGAGGAAGCACTCACTGTTTACTCTCCAGAGCAGCTACTAAATGAGCAGGAGCAACGCCTGTACTGTAATATTATTCAGCCATTTATGTGTGTTTGTTTTTCCTGGAAAACAGAGGAAAAGCAAGCCCTGGCAAGGCAGAGGATTACTGCACACATGAAGGGAGAAGCAGTAAATAGGTCAGTAAACACTGGCCAGACTGGGGCCCTTGGGGCTGGGCATCCTGCTGGCTCCCAAAGCTTTGCACAGGTTGCCTACAATCCCCAGAGGCAGAGATCAGTCCTGCGGCCTTCAGCTTGAGCCCTGTCTTCACGGCAGCTCCTGGAAACTGGCCTCTGTCCTCCTGGCTCCCAGCCAGGGACAGTGCAGGGATGCAGGTTTTGCACTCTCAGTGTTGTCAATCTCCTTCAGCGCTGGCCCGCCCAGGGGCATTAGTGATGAGAAGAGCAAGTTTCCTTCTCCTGGGTACCCACTTTGTGTGGCTGTAGGATTGGATATCACACCAGACCCCACTTAGCCTCTGCTACCAGAATGCCTGCAGCCTACTGTGGAAGTGGGATAAACTA